GTGCCCTCACTATGCATAGAAGTAGATTCCAACAGCATTATTATTGAAGTAAAGGGACAGACTCCCTATGATGACTGGGAGTACAATTTATGAACTCCCGTTTGACTTTATGAATTGTTTCCTTGTGTCCTATGAAACACTGTTCAGTGCCCCATGCTCCTGGTGGCAATAGGCATTTTTATACATGGCTAAGCAGACCGCTAAGGACTATTATGAGCACTTGAATAGAACTTACCTGGGGAGAACAAAAGAGGAAACCAGTTCTCTCAACCCCTGGTAAAGGGCTTAGAGTTTGAAGAGTGAAAAATTCACCACAGCAAAACAGAGGAACCAGCTGCCCATGGTGAAACATAGAAAGATGAGGGACTTACAGAGCAGGGAACAGGAAGCTTTGGGCATGCTTTCATGTTGGAGAGATCCTATTTAGCTCTGGGACCAGCCAAGCTCAAAGGAGAGGAAGCTGACCTGAAGTTAAGAAAGAATGACTCAGTGGCACCAGTATCTTGAAAAGAAGCCATGTGCTGGACAGGGTGATTCTGTACTGTGAGGTGAATGAAAGAATTTGCTGGGTAATATTAATAAATAATCTTTTACATAGTGACTTCTGTCCAAAGATCTCGAAGTACTTTACAAATTGATTTGCAAACTTATCACTTCACCAACTGCTGAAATGCAGTCCCGTCTAGAATGAAAGGACATAACAGCTGTTTAATAGTTCATAGCAACACTACAGAACAGGAAGTGGCTACAGTAATTGCAGGAGCAATTGTACATACATGCTATTTTCTCAGGCTGGAATTCAAACAGAGGAGTGAGGCTAACACTCTTAGGGTATGTCTACACTTGCACTCTCTTTCGAGAGAGGGATGCAAATGAAGACACTCGAAATTGCAAATGAAGCCAGGATTTAAATATCCCACGCTTCATTTGCATATTTGCGTTATGGCACTATTTTGAAATAGAGCTATTTCAAAATAACAGATGCTGTTAAGACGTGGTTATTTCGAGAGAAAACCCTTCTCTTGAAATAACTGGTAAACCTCATTGTATGAGGAATAAGGGTTATCTCTCGAAATAACTGCGTCTTAACAGCATTTGTTATTTCAAAATAGTGCTTTTTGAAATAGCACCATAACACGAATATGCAAATGAAGCTTGGGATCTTTAAATCCCGGCTTCATTTGCAATTTCGAATGTCTTCATTTGCATCCCTCTCTCGAAAGAGGGTGCAAGTGTAGACATACCCTTATTCTTGCTGCAGGAACTTCTAGTGGTCACAATCTTGGCTGTACATTTTATTTGAAAGGTTACCTCTGGTAGCACAGTATATTATGGGGCCCTGGACTGTTATTATCTTAAGGCCAGTGTAACTTAAGGAATGATTATTAAACCAATTTACATAAACTAGAGAAAATGGCTGTGTTGTTACTCTTACTTTAGTTTAGATCAAGTAAACTAGGAATAGGTTGAAACTCAATTCCAATAAGTGGCTCTTAACTCTAAAACAGGCTTTCTTCCACACAGATGTTGGATTTGTTTAACTGTAGACCTGTTCTGCACCTGGTTAGTTAAAACTGTGCAAGTGGACACACTCTTGATTTAAATCTGCCTTGTAGCAGTTTAGCCTGTCCCCTTTGCCCAACCATTGTAACCTGTTTGTTAATCACACCATTGGTTATATTGGTGCATGTTTTTGTGCAGCTAATACCTAAGCACGTATCACAGAGAGACTGAAGTGGTTTCCTTAAACTAGTATGAAGAAAAAGGCCTTAGAGGAAGGATTGCCACAAAGGTAGGTCATAGTCCAGCAAAGCACATAAGCATGTGCTTAATTTTAAGCAAGGTGATTACTCATTACTTATATGATTAAAGTTACATTTAAGTACTTTGGACAGGGGCCTAAATCATTATACCCCTTACTAAGAGAAACTGGTAAATAATAGAGAGCCTAAAACTGGGGGCAACAACTGACATAGCTATGTTTTACTAGTACTCTTACTTGACATTCAATTCCTAGTGTAGTGGGAGGCATGGATAACTAGGATAGGGATAACGGGCAAAGACTTGTTAGCAAAGGAACATCAACGTTTGAGGAAAATCACTTTGCCCTGGTCACAGAGAAATACCAGAAAAGGAAGGAAAAACAACTGTCACAGAACAAACCACTAACTTCCAACACTAGCTGCAACATCTGCCAATATGCCAATGGCTTCAGGATTGGACTACTAAAAAATATAACCTGTGAAAGAGACCATCCTCGACCTCAAAGGATTGCCAACAATAATGGGAGGAATTACAGATGGGATTACTGATTCTGGGTAATAGAGGCGGAAAGAGAGTACTGTACTTCCAAAGTAAATGGAGGAGTATTGAAATATAAACAGTTTAGTGAGGCTAACACTTTAATTCTTGCATGGGGATCTTCTAAAGAGGTCACAATGTTGGTTACACATTTTATTTGAAAGACTTACATCTGGCAGCAAAGCAGAATGCACTAAAACATCCTCCACAAGGCTAGGAGATTCCTTTAGTTTGAAACTGATGAAACTTCCTGATGAGAGAATTCTTCTAGCACACTGTGGGCCTCTCTTGTCTGGAGACCAAGGGCAATCTTTATTCCAAGGTTTTCTGCTCAGCGCCAGCAGGACAACCTTTTTTCACCACCACAGGGTGCGTTTTTGATGTTGCTGATTGTTTTCATTTTTGGTGTTTTTCTTTTATGGCTCTGAGTCAGCTATCTTTAAAGAGGAGGGTTTGACCATCTGGTTCTGGGAGTAATCAGTGTCTAACAGGCGCAACTGGTTTGCACATCATTCTGTGCCTGGTTAAAATAAACAGAACCATCCTTCTCCAGAAAAATAAAATGCACCAGATGTCAAGCAAATTCAGGCTGAGGGAAAGGCAGACTGAAATTTATGCAGCACTTGAGAGAGATCTAGGGATTAGCAAAGGGGTGTTATAAGTGAGATCTTAGTTTCAGCCACTCTGATGTTTTATCTTGAAAGGGGAAGTGAGTGGGAAAAACCCAAACAAAACTAAACAGAATCCTGCAAAACCCAGGCTCCTCACTAGGGGACATTTCTTAATAAAGGAGGGAGGGGGGAAAAAGCCCCACAACAAAATACTTTGACTGGATAAGTGTGTTGTACAGATCGATTGTCTGACAAGGAACAAGTACACACTAGGAACTGGTTGTGAACTGCCATACACAAGAAAGCGTAATTAGAGGGAGGGAGACATCAGAAACGCCTGTATAGGTCCTCTTTACGAGGGCACTGCAACTGGAATGTTTTGCTTTCATCAGTTATTGTACTGGTGACCATTCAAATTAAATGCTAGATCATTTAAGTTTATTTAACCTACTGGTAGCGGTCACCTCTGTGCTTCTAGAAGATGTATTTTTGTCTCATTTTTCTGGCACGTATCTTCAAAATTCGTCTGAAAACATGCAGGCTCTGTCTTTTGTGTCCCTCCCCCCACCCTGTGCCTTTACAGGGACACACTATCTCCTCCCAAGTAGGCTTAACACTGCTTCTGTGAGCAGCTGACAAAGAGAACAAGTAATTTCTTAGCCTTTCAGTGTTGTGCTGCTTCTGTTTTTGTGAGTGGCCTCTGCACCTGTTGTGATAAGCAGTTCTCCCTTCACATTCACATTGAAAAAATGGCAATTCCCCCTCACCCTTTCTTTTAGTAAATGCTAATAATTAGGAAAAAGACTGGAGGCTGTGGTGGATTCTTTAGCCTTAGAAAAATTTAGTGTTTATATGTAGTAAAGTGAAGAGAGAGAGACAGAGGCATCTTCAGCTGTTTTGTAAGTACCCTGTGAAACAGGCTCATAGTATGATCAAAGCAGGATCATCCATTCATTTAATAGGATTAGTCTTTGCCCCACCCAACCTAGTTTGGCCTGTTTGTATCTCTCTACAAACTATATTCCCCTTGTCTAAACTTGTCTGATCATTTGCAACAAGCCATAATAAAATACTCACACTGTCAAAAAAAAGGTACTATTTAGTCTTTCATATGCTTTTTAACGTGTCTTTGTTTATAAATGTAAAAGTTTATGCTCCTCATTCAGTATTCCCATCAGTGCAGAAGTATTGGCTGGTGTCTTTGGAGTTTTATTTGCTGGAGTGCAATTTGGGGACTCCAAACACATTTCTGCAGACCAGCCCTTCAGTTCACCTGTGTTCTGAGTCCATTGGCACGTCAGCTTGATGATAAGGAGAGGTGTGATGTTCTGGAAGTGTGACAAGAGCATTCAATGCAGTGACCAACTTTTACCACTAGCCTGAAAAAGGCACTGCAGATGCAGGGGAGGGGCTAGCTGGCTGTTAACCCAGTGAAAGAAAATGCCTTGGCTGCTGTTCAAAGCTGCTCCAAATGGAGTATTTCAATTTAATTCCAAATTAAAAGCAGCTAGTGTTGTGTAGCATAGGGAAAAGATTATGCATCAATGCTTTCCCCCTCAACATAATCCTAATGACAGTACTGTACTAAAATAAATAAAAGTTAAGCCTTATTCCCTTCTTTCCCCCACTACTATATCTAATTCTGTGGCCTGGAGCCAGATTTTTGTAGGTGAAAAGTAGAGGAGAAAGGCCTGAATATTTAAAGTCAAAATCTGATTATATGTCTTATCCTCCTGGTTTCATGGGATATGTCTGGTGCTTTAAAACAAGTGTGGGTCAGCTGACTTGGGCTGGTGTGACAGGCTATAAATAGAAATGTTGATGGCCCCGCATAGGCTGGGCTGGGTGTCAGAGCCTGGGCTCCAAAATGCGTAGGAAGCTCTACATTGCTAGTTTTAGCCCTGTAGTGTGAGTCCCACCAGACCAAGTCTGTTGATCTGAGGTCTCAGCCTTCCCCCTCCCGCCCCATGTCGACACATAGTCCCTTCCCTGTTTATTGTTCATATGCTCCATCTCCGGGTCCCACTGAAAAGTAAACATGAAAGAGATCTGCTTGGCATGTTTAATCTTACACAAACTCTTTGCTAGCAGGAGGAATGGGAGGATTCTGGAGTGGTTACCGACAGACATATATTCCACAAAACAACCCTGAATGGCCTTCCAGGAATTCTGTTCTTTGCCTTCCCAAGCAGCAGGAGCAGGTAGGTAATACAGTGCTCTGATCTGTATGTAAAGTTCCAACTTGGTTATTGGTGGTGACACCTGATACCTCTCAGCACATATCATGGTTCAGTGGGCCAGGGGGAGCTGTCCCCTTTGGTGGTGGTGTAACAGCATCTGCCTATAGTGAGCCATAACCAATGAATTTATGAGCCTGGTCCCATCTACTCCAGAGGCCATGCAGATAACACAAACCAAGTCCTGTAGGAGTTAGGGAAACTTGATGTGCCCTTCTAGTGGGCTTGCTCTTCATGATGAGTGCAAAGAGTGAGTAGAAAATATCAGTATCTCCGAGGGTCCGATGGAACTACTGAATTGAAAGACTTGCATTCACACTGAGATCTCACTATGACTCAGGAGTTGGCAGAGAAGGGAATGGGGAGAAGCAACAGTCAGAGCTGAGATACCTTAGAGGTAAGCAGTATAGAAAAATGTAATGTTGGCTAATGCATGTGCTGCTGCCATAGAACTCAATAAAACGCTTGACTTAAGTGGGTCAGTATCACATCTTAAGTATTTCAAGATCACGTGTAGTGGCTGGCCCACATAGAAGGGAGTCCTTTAGTGTTAGCCACTAAAGATCTATTTCTTTAGCTGCTGGAGGTCCCAGGTCCAATCTCCATTGAATATATGTTATATAGACCATTACAAAGAACTAAGAGTGAGAAACAGCAAAAGCAACCATCAGACAGTAGCACTTCATATAAATGCTTTATTCCTCTGATAGATATTGTAGAAATGTGTTCCTTTTTGTTGTCCTCTTTGTTGTTGTTGTTGTTGTTTTGTGGGGTGATTAGTGGAGGGGTGAGGAACCATGAGAAGGGCTATGTGATCCATGGGAATCATGACACTATATTTATCCCATAGGGATCACAAGAGAGCGCAGGGGTGGTGGTCAGTGGATTGTTAGAAAGAAGTTGTATTTAAAGGCTACACATCAGAGAAGATAAAGGAGATGATAATAAACCTGTTAAGTGTGTGTGCCTGCGTGTGAAAATTATAAACTACCCATACAAACAGGCGACAGCTGGTTGTGTCTGTACAAGTCAATACTCCCCCAGAACATCACCATAGAATCTCCTCCTACTATGTACTTACCGCACTGAAATACCTTGGTCTGTCTTCAAATCATCACAGGGAAAAAGAAGGGCCCATCTCTTTGTACTTCTTTTGAATCAAGTACAGCTGGTCCCCGAGTTACGAACGGTTGATTTACGACCGTTTGCAGTTACGACCAAAGCTGTTGTAAATGGCGGACCCCGAGTTATGAATGTGATCTGCGTAATGAACAGCGCAGTCGCGTGTAACTCTATGGGGTCCGACTTATGAACAAACTGAGTTACGACCAATTGCTTGGTCCGTAACTGGTTCGTAAGTCGGGAAGAGGCAGTACTACAGTGACTACATCTGACAGAGATTTAAAATGGCCTAAAGGATTAAAGACAAATGGAGCAAGAGTGGGACTGTAGTAGGAATTGATTCCATTTGTATAGACCTGTTTTTCTTTCTCACTATAAATTTAGGCCTCATGAAAAGTGCCATGCTTACAGCCTCGGAGAAAGGCATTCTCTATTTTTCCAAAGAACAAGTATACATGATAAACATCTGTACAAATTTCCTATCCTACCCCACTCTACCCTGCCAATAGACTCAGTGGGGCAATGGTGGTTGTTTTGTATTACAATGGTACCTAGAAGCACCCAGTGGGACTGATTCATTCCATTGAGCTAGGACTGTAAAAAGACATAGAGACGGTCCCAGACCCAAAGAACATACCATCTAAATAGTCATTAATGTCTAAGGTCACACTTCAAGTGAATGAGAAGTTAGGACTAGAACCCAGTTCTTCTAAAATATAGGCTAGGGCTTTATCTGCTGAGCTGTGCTATCTCTCTAACATGATTGAAGTTGGAGGTATAATTTCAAGCTCACACAGTACCCATACTAGCTCTCATTGAGCCAGCATGCTACAAATAACAGTGTAGTAGCAATAGCTGCCAGACTTTGTTCCTAAGGTTTTGGATGCAGTCACATTAGGGCCTGAAATATAATTCCATGGCCATTGGTCAATTTACCTTTGCTGGTCCCTGTCCAGAAGGAGGAGTTAACTCTCTGGTGAAACAGTCACTGTGGGTGGTTCGAAGCAGGCAGAGAATTAGTTAGGTGGCTTGTCTGGAGTACCCACCTGAACCATTCCGATAATGCTCATTGAAATTTGAGGACTTGGATTTTGAGAGTTATCAATCTACAAGTGCATACTGCTCACAACAAACAGGAAAATGTATGTTTAAACTTACAGGTGTACTGGATGAAGCTTGTACTCCTCAAGTACAGCCATAAATAGCAAGAGTAATTTAACTTCTGCTATAATTACATGGTTTTAATTTTTTCCTTTGTTCTCCCTGGTTTGATTTGATGGGGGTAAAGCCTACACACTCTTCTTTTCTGTCTGCCCTTTCCTCGAGATACAAGAGATTTGTTTGAATTATTTTAATTGGCAAATGCATTATTCAAATAGTAGCTGTGGCAGAAATACTTTTGTTCTAGTAACCAGGTTCTTTTCATTGAAAAGCTGCTGCCAGACATCTCTACAGATTTGGGATTAGCCTAACTCTGAAATGGGCTGTGTGACATGCCAATGATGATTTCCAAATGAGACAGATTTAACGTGGTTTATTCTGCTGTGGGCAGGAGGAGGTTCTATTTTTTATTTCCCTCGGAGTGCTGCTGCCTCCAGTTAGTAGACCCCACAGCCAATTCTTAACCTGTTTTTTCAGAGATTAGCAATTTAGAGCATTAGCTTTTTGAGGCAGGTATGGTTTTTGTTCTATATTAGTACAGTACCTGTCATAATGGGGGCCTAGTCCATGATGGCGCCTCAAGAGGTGTGTGTGGGGGAATTGTTTTGTTTTAATCCTCTTATGCATAGGATGGTCACCAGTTTCTGCTATTTATTTCAATCTTGTGCTGGTCTGTTCAGGCTTTGACCAGCATGTTGGTAGATTAGCATCTTTGTTGCTGTATGTCATGCTTCTCTGTCACCCGTTTTTTTTTCTTTATCCAGTTGGCGTCCCTGTTATCACTTGATGCAGAACTTATGTTAGTGGCATCTTTTAAAGTATGTCCTAAATATGTCCATTGTTGTCTTCCTCATCATGTCTGATGTTGTAATGAGCTCTTTCCAATGCACTCTGCAAATCCTCTTCAGGAATTTACTTTTGAATGAGTTGATCTTCTTATCAGTTGTTGTGGATTTCCATGGGTCTGTTCCATGGAAGAGGACAGACATGATGCTGGTGTCACAAATTTGTGTTTTTTGTATCAAGTGTAACTGCAATATCAATAAATGGTAATAATAACATTTAGCTTTTGGATAGCACCTTCCATTTGAGGATCACCATCACATTTTGTTAAGTGCTTGAATTGACTCACTGGACATGCCTGTAAGCTAGGCCAGACTCATTCAGCTTTTTTACAGATGGGAGAAACTGATGTATAGATCTCTCAAACGATGTGAAGTCTGTGCCAGAACTGGGAACAGAAACCACCTCTCCCGACTCACAATCTTGTGTGTTGTCCACAAGTTGATCATTTAAAATGTTTTGTTACAACATTTTTATTACAGATGTGCTTGGCTCTGTACAAGATAAAAACTCTTGGGCTAGGTCTATACTATAGGCTTTTTCCAATTGCTTTTCCAGAAGAGGCTTTTCCGCCTAGACGGGGCTAAATGGCGGGAAAACCTCCTCTTTCAGAGGAGCCCTTATTCCTCATAGAACGAGGTATACAGGGCTCCCCAAAAGAGCATGTTTGCAAACATGTTCCTGGTATCTTGGAAAAAACCCACAGTGTAGGCCTTTATTTGCAGCTTGGAGTAATCTTCTCCCAAATGTTGCCCTGATCCTGCAAAGACTGCTCTGTAGACAGACTCCTGGTACAATTTGCATGGGAAGTGTTCAACCATAATGATCTCTCTGCAGCGTCAGGGCCTTAGTATTGTAACCATATAGAGAAAGATTTAGTGAGCCATTATAAAATCATCCATCTTTAGTACAAGCTTAGAAAATCAAGTTAACTTCCCCCTTGGTTTAAACAGTTAAATAACAGACAAAGCTCTGAATATAATTGCAGTGCTTCTACGATGAGCAAGTGAGGGCTAAAATGATACAATGGAAAGAGACAGGAATCCATAGGGATGCTCTTTTTTGGCAGTTCTGCAGATTCAGTATTCTGGAGTAGGATAAAACAATCTGTGATGTGCATTTGATTAAAACTCAACATGCATCTTGAATGCTCATTCTTGCAATCACAACTTGGAAATCACTGAACCTGGGATATGCTATAGAATCAGTACCTTAAATTCCAGAGCTGGTACGTAAAGAGACCTTCTGATTGTGGTGTCAGTGAGGCTGAGAGATGACAGACACTAACTCAAACAGTGCTGAAATGGATACAAGCAAATAGATTTAGGTTAATTTGGCAGAAAAGAAAACCTGGTTCCTTCCTTCCTACCCACCTTATCTGAAATATAGTGCTGAGGGATTGATTACCATGCTGGCACCCATTTGTTATTGTAAGGCCATATGTGTACAGATGCAAAGTTAGGATTAGATACCTTCTCCTTGGTTATGTCACATCAATCTCAGTTCATTACATTTCCCTCATCAGTTCCACCAGCTGCTTCTCTCTTTCCTGACCCCAGGACCCATGCCCATTCATTCTCTTTGTTTTCTGTTTGTTTCCCTTTTAATTACATTTCTTGATCTTTTCCTCTATTAATTATTTTCAGGAGAGCTGGTCAGAAATGTCCATGAAAACAAAACTTTGATGAAAAATGGTGGAAAAAAAACCCCTCCTCGGATCAAATCTTACTTTGTTTTTCAGAGTTTTACAGCTGGGATCCCTATGAAGCCTCTTCCTTCACTGAGGAGCAACTCCTAATCCCACTGAAATCAGTGGACATAAGATTAGGAGCCAGACACTAATTCACAAATGAAAACACTGAGGAAGGATTTCACAGGAAGTTTTAAAACTGAGGAAGCTTTTACCATCAGCTTTGATCTTATTTCACAAGCTTAACAGCGATGGACCTGATCCATTTTTGGAAGGAAAACAGAGTCTGCAGTAAGGTGGGCTGTGATTTAGGATGCCAGTCCTGCAAGTGAGCAGAGTTACTCACAAAACGGGGGCCTTTGTAAGCTGAGTCACCACTGAATCAATGCCTAGCCTGTTGCTGCTACCGCTATTTATTTATTTATGTATTTATTTATTTATATGACAGTAGCTCCTCAGGACCCCAATCAAGATAAAGGCCCCCAGGCTCTGTACTATTACATTGAGAGACATTGCCCCCCAAAAGTTTACGAAGTTAGCAGCTTTGGGGATCACCAGGGGGAAGGGGTCCTGGCATGGCATGGTAGCGGGGGTTGTGCCCCACCCCTGCATTCCAATGGTAGCGGGAGCCATGGGGAAGTTGGGTACACTGGGTGAGCGTAGGGGCATGACTAGTGCCACAATGCAGAGCCAGGCTCCTCCCTACCAGTGACCCCCAAAATTCGCATCCTCAAGGATGGGTGCTGTGAGGCAGGGAGAGAGTGGTAAGGGGTGGGATTTGGAGGCCAGTAATGGACAACTCCCCACCCGTACCCAGTTTTGCCAGGAATCCTGAGCTGGATTGCATAATCATTCTGGCTAGAGTCTGGCCCATGGGCCAAGTGTTTCAGATCTCTGGTCTAAATAGACAAGAGAGGTGGGATATAGAAGTGAAGTGACTTGCCCAAGATCATGTAGCCAGCATTAGAATCCAAGTCTCCTGAATCCCAGTCAGTACTTTGTCCACCAGAACACACGGCCTCCACGCTTAATTATGACTCACTCATAGTGCACAAAGCAGTAAATTAGCAAAGAACACTATGAGGCCCAGTGAATTCAAATCACTTGTCAAAAGTCACCCTTCCAGCTGTGTGCTGACTCCAAAAAAAGAACAATTAACCATGTATAAGAGAGATCAGTGATACTGGATAAACTTAAAAAACAACAAAAGGTCTGGTAGCACTTTATAGACTAACAAACCATGTGGATGGTATCATGAGCTTTTGTGAGTACAACCCACTTCTTCAGATGACCGGAGTTATGAGTTTAGGATGTGCAGACCCAAAATAAATAGGGAGGGAGGAGAGAGGAAAAAGAGAAGGGGGCAGGAAACAAGGATTATTGTTACTTAAGTTAAACAAACTTTTAAAGCAGGGGTGGGAAACCTCAGGCCCAGGGGCCGGATGTGGTCCTTGGCTTGCCTGGATTCAGCCCCCAAGATTCAGGGCTGCCTCCCCAACATTGGAGAGTTTGTGCTGGCGCTCCAGTCCCCCCTACCCCATCACCCCACAATGCGGCTGGAGCACACAAAACCTACTAGCCTGGGCCCAATAGGTTCTGGTGTGCTAGTGTAATTTGGGGAGTGTCTTTCTTCTCCTCCTATCAGGAGCCACATCAGTGAGGCCTTTTTTTCCCCTCACTTGTGTACGGCCCCTCCACTGATTTTTCTGTGGGTCAGCAGCCCCTGACCCAAAAAGGTTTCCCACCCCCCAGTTTAAAGTGTCAAATTGTAAAATAGATGAGTCATACAATGCATTCAATACTGAGGCCATGTTTAAATATTTCCTAATTTGGAAGAAAAATGGAGGGATCAGAAACAAATGAGATATGGGAGAATGAAAAAGGTACAAAAGAAAGGCAAGAACAGGGAGAAACCTAGGAAAGTAGAGTTGGAAGGGACCTCAAGGGACCAAAAGTCCAGCCCTCTGAGCTAAGACAGGATTGAGGATACCATCTCTGATAGGTGTTTGTCCAACCTGTTCTTAAAACAATCTCCTTTGGAAGCCTATTCCAGATCTTAACAACCCTTATCGTTAGAAAGCTTTTCCTAACATCCAAGCTAAATCTCCTTTGATGTCGATTAAGTCCATAATTTCTTGTCCTACCTTCAATGGAAATGGACAACAATTGATCACCATCCCTTTTGTAACTGCTCTTAACAGATTTGAGGATTGAAAAGGGAGGCACCTGAAAATAGTTTCCTTTTCTCAATACTAAGCATGCTTAGTTTTTTTTTATCCTGTCCATATAGGTCAGGCTTTCTAAACCTCTTATCATTTTGTTGCTCTCCTTTGGTCTCTATCCAATTTATCTACTTATTTCCTATAAAGTGTGGCATCGAGAATTGGACACACTACTCCAGCTGAGGCCTCATGGGTGCCTAATAGAGTGGAGCAGTTACCTCCCATATCTTACATATGGCACTTCTTTAAATACACCCCAGAATGATAGTAGGGTTTTTTGCAGCTGCATCACACTGTTGAGTCACATTATGTTTGTGATGCCCGATAGCTCCCACATCCTTTCGTCAGTACTACTACCTAGCCAGTTATTCCTCAATTTGTAGTTGTGCATTTGATTTTTTAAATTTTTTGCCCCTAAATGTAATACTGTTCACTAATCCTTATTGGATTTGATCTTTTTGGTTTCAGACCAACTCTAATGTAACAAGGTCCTTTTGGATTCTAATCCAGTCCTGCAAAGTGCTTGCAACCCCTCCTGACTTGGTGTCATCTGCAAATGTTATAAGCACATTCTCTCCTCCATTAGCTGAGGCATTAATGAAAATACTGAATAATACTGAACCCAGGACTGACCATGCGGGACCTGCTAAATACACTGTTCTAGTTTGACAGTGAACCATCAATAACTACTTTTTAGTACAATCTTCAATAGGCTGTACACCCACTTTACAGTAATTTCATCCAGATTACATTTCTTTATGAGAATATCATATCAGACAGTGTCCAAAGCCTCATTAAAATCAAAATATATCACATCGGCTAGTTCTTCCCTTTCCACCAGGACAGTAACTCTGTAATAGAAGGAAATTAAGTTAGCATGATTTGTTCTTGACAAATCCATGCTGGATAGTCCTTATAATCCTTTTATCCTCTAGGTGCTTTCAAATTGATTGATTTATGAAGAGTAAAGTTAGGTGAAAAATAAGCTAATGGGGACCAAGTCTTGAATGGATTCTGAAAATCTCTTTAACTCTGTAATTTGCACATTGCTGGAACCTCCATGATGAATAATACTTTCTTGTAAAATGGTTTTAAAACTTGTTTCCTAACATGACTTAAAGGCAGAAGATAAGTCTTACTGTTCCTATCTTTTACAAACCCCTTCCAATGAACAACTATTGAGAAACTGGGGGAGAAATGCAAGCAATGGAAAAGTACTGCATAGTCACTTCAGCACACAGGCCATGGTTAGCAAGACTGCATCCTTGGAACATGGGCTATAGTGTAGCCAGTCCTGGGGAAGGATTTGTCACATGTCTGTTTTCCAGACTTTACTTTTGCCCATCTCTTTTCTTAGTAATTGGTTGCAGAAAGGCTCCTCTCCTTATCTTGGAGTCTGTGATTCTAGTCAGTGTGCCTAATTTCAGATACAGAAATGATGCACACGTGCAAATGGGAAATATATTCAGCAGATTATAACTTTTCTAATGATACTTTACAAGATGTATTTTGCATAAAGTATATTCCAGTTATATCATATTCATATTAATTAACATTTTTCCTAAAGAATATGGATAGCCACATAACAATATGTTCTAGAAAAGAAGCGAGGAGAGATCGTTAGAATAAAATGGATAAGAGTCAGGGTAGTGTTCTGGATTTAGAAAATGAATTTGAGCTGAGTGTCAGTGTCTGATTGGAATGTACTTAAAGAAGATCACTGAAAGTAGAAGTTTCAGTTTTATCTGTTCCCAAGCACATAAAAGGTTAAGTTCTTCTCTCTTATTTTTTAAAGTAGAGTTAAATTTAAACACAAATAAGTTAAAAAAGCGAATGTGCTTTTTATCTTTGTGTATGATCATAGATGTGTCATTGTGCTTTAATGCATATGTTACAAACGATGAAATAGGGACATTGGATAACAGCTGTAACGAAATGAATAATACCCTATCTGGATACAAAGAGAGGGAAAAATCTTCATCTTCATTTGTGATACTGTCATATTATACAGACTCAAAATCAGTGCTGGGCAAAACTAAAATGTTCAGAGTTTGGCTTTATTACAGATAAAATACCTGTATGTCTGGATTCTTAGCTTAACATTATTTAAAGTCTTACATCTTCACATAGGGCTAGAAATTACAGTACAGTGTTTGCTTACAAAAGATCTTGGTTTATGAGTTGTCCTTACCCGCTATCATTTTAGCACTTCTAGATTTGGGCTTGAATGCAACCAAACAGTTTGAATGCAACCAAACAGCACCAAACAGCTCAACAAAGAAATTATGCAAACATCTGAGAACCTTTAAAAAGTAATTAAAGTAATTCTAAAAATTGGCTAAAGCTTAGTGTGGGGAGAATAAAATGGGTGTCTCATTTTAACACACACATTCTCAAACTAGTCAGTTCAGTTGATTGAAGGAAGAGATTATAGAGACAAACTAGAAATGGACTGATAATGCCTTTCACAAATCTGTTCTAACTGGATCCTAAAAAATCTTTGTCAGGGCAAAGAGAACACAGCTGCATTGTGGTGATTACTCTAGAAAGGCACATCCCATGTCCAACATGGCACTTCTGAGCCTGCTTAAGCATTAGCATCCAGAGAGATGAAACACAACTAACAGATTCTGGCCTTCCCTTACAGACTTATAGTAAGGCTAACAGATCAGTTTTCAGCAACTGTTTTTCTTTTTCCCTTCAATGTGGGTCACACACAAATTGCAATTGCTGCTGTGAGTGGAGTTTATATTTGGGTTTAACTCCTTTTAAAACAACTCCACTGTAGTGCAGTAAATCACTGCAAACATGCAGCAGCTGAAATGTAATGAGATTACCCTGTGATGTGACCCCTGCTGAGTAAACAGGAATGGGAGAGGGCTTTGTATGGTTGTCAGGGGTACCAAAATTGTTCTGCCCTTGGTCTGCTGAAAAGTTTTCATCTCATGTTATGGTTTGTGTTGATTTAGTGACTCTTAAAGTTACTAGTTGAGGGGAGTGCCCTGACAATCCAAAATAAGTCATTTCCACTCTCCTTCTCCTGCTGTCTACCTTTATGGAGGTGGAATGTCATGAACACATTTAGTTTTTCACAGTTTTGGGTTAGGTGTATGCTTGTAATGTCTCATTTTTCATATAGTGTTAATGGTGCATTAGGCCTTCATTTTAAAGGCCAGTGTTTTGTCTAAACTCTGATTGGTCTGAGTTCATCGCCACAGACATTGCAGCTGGGTTGACTGGAGTCAGGGTCAATAAGAAAGTTCTGTCTCCTATTATCTGAATACAGAGGATGGGATTTTCCCTGGCTTTGAAGTGAATAAAGTGTAAAAGGAGCTGTGTGTAGCCTGGGCACAAAGTCTCATTGGCTGAGTTCAGGGAGTGAATCCATCCCTCGCTAGGGAGAATGGGGAGGAATGCTACATTAGGATGTAAAAGAGTCAGAGCAGAGATGGAAGGATCCCAGGAAAGGAAGCTGCATGGGATGTGACTGGAGTTTTGGGGAGTGGGGTAAATCTTGACTTAGCTTCCCTTGGCTTTTTTTCAGTTTTGTTTTGGAGAAATAAACTAAGGGATTGAACACACTTTTATTTAAAATAGGGCCCAAACCCAAATTCCTCTGAGCTGTGGGAGTTTCAGTAGAGGGGACCAAATGTAAAGTGGAGATTGCAACACACTCTAGAGTAGACAGGGGGGTGCGGACAGCCTTTACGTGCCCTTGGGCAAGGTGAGGGAGGCCTGGCTCCATGCTCCTGGAAGGGGCGGGGTCAGGGGCAATCAGGTCTCCATGCTGCCCCATGCGCCCCCGCCCTCAAAACTGCACAGAGTGTGCAGTGTGGTGCTCCAGTGGTGATTTAAAGGGCTCGGGCTCTGGCTGCTGCTGATGCTACTGCAGCAACAACAACGGTAGCCAAGAGCCCCAGGTCCCAAGGCAATTGCCCCCTTTGCCACCCCGTCAGTGGGCCTGGGTAGTGTAGATGTAGGTGTAGA